CACGCGAATTTAAATTCAGCTTCTCCGTATCCGCGCTTAACACGTATGGCCCTGTGAAAGTTTTTTTACGAATAAATTAATATCTCGGGAACTACGGAGTCTAGGAGATTGATATTTTAGGTAATGACGCCCTGCCCACGCTCAACCTTGCCCATTCAAGTTCAGGCTTTCCGTACCTGCGGATAACACGTACGGCCTCGTGGAAGTTTTGACAATTAGTATGTCAGGAACCACGGGGTCTAGAGAGCTGAAATTTTAGAGTAATGACCCCCCGCCTACGCTCAACCTTGCCTATTCAAATGCAGCGTTCCCGCGCTCTTGACTACCACATACGGCCTTGTGAAAATTTTGGCGGGTAAACTATTAACTCGGGAGTCACGGAAAGATATTCACCCTTCAAGTTTTCGAATTCAGCTTTCATGCACCGATGCGTGGAATTTTTGGCTGTTTTCCAATGTTTGACTGTTTTCCAATGTTTATTTTAGCAATGAACAGTGGAACTGATATGCGTGGGAAGCGAATGACGCGAGTGGAACGAGCTGTTCAGGCAGCAGCAGCTGTAGCGAACAAAAGAAAACGACAGGCTGATCGCAAAAAACGGTTGTCACTACTTCAAAGGTGAGTGATAAAAAGCAAGCTTTTGAGACCTCGAAAAGGGTTTAGTAAGGTCGCGGGTGAATATTTTAGATATGTTGAACAGACGTACTACTACGAAGGCTACTTTGGTCGTCATGCTGATCTGAATATCTGTGTAACACATGCGATGCGTCAAGATATGCGAGATGCCTGGGACGTTAGTGCAGCAACTGTTTATGACAAGCCTCCTTCATGGAATTTTCGGAAGCTGAATGACGAAGAACGACATAACTTTTACGTGAAATTGGCTCGATATAGTGAAGAATTTAAGACCTTCAGAACGGACTGCAGTGCATCAAGTGCAAATGGAGAATTTGCTGATGGTGAAGGTTGGTGTTTACCATTCATCTGCTTTTTAATTACTAATTCAGTCGTGCCAGTTAACTTGCCTATCGAATCGAGTTTCAGAGAAGCTTTTGGAAACGCGGTTTTCATATCGTGACAACGATGAAAAAGTGCATTTGCGCAATGATCGCCCCTTAATTCTTATTTCCTCGACGAGTTGGACAGAAGATGAGGATTTTGGACTTCTGCTTGATGCTCTTCGTGAGTATGATAACGTCGCGAGGCTTTCTTCGAAAGCGTGCGTTTGCTTGAACTTATTTTACGAAAAACATTGCCTGGTTTCCACTTCTTGAAAAATTTATGTTTTAGAAACCCGTCAACTCGACTTCCACTGATAATATGCATCATAACTGGACGTGGACCGTTGCGGTCGTATTACATGGGTAGAATAGAGCATATGCAAATGCAGAATGTTGAAATAATAGCACCTTGGCTAGAACCGGAGGATTATCCGTTATTGCTTGGCAGTGCTGATATTGGCGTTTCTCTTCATACATCAACATCTGGTGAGCAAAAGCACTACATATGTCAAACTGTAAGCAGCGATTTTTCATATTTTAACGATCTGATTCCTTCAAGGTTTGCGCAAAACTGCGTTAACGCACCGGGAACTCTGGCGCGTCGTTGACTTTGTTTGCGTTTGTTTCTAAAACGCTTCCAAAAATTGCTGCGGTCTCCTACGGAATGAATAAAACTGGAAATGAAATGTGAGAAAGTTAAAAGCTAACAGGACCTACGACTCATTATTCAGTCTTCAACTTTTGTTATAAATTTTCCAAGATTTAATTTTCCAGTCTTCGTCCTTTAATTACGTATATTAGTAATATCTATTTAATTTATTGCCACAGTTTATCCTACCGACATAGGTAAATTTTAACCGGATTTTACATTGCTACTTTTGTTTGATGCATGAATTCTGTAAATACAGCTCGTTTAAGGTCTTGATTTACCCATGAAAGTGGTCGACATGTTTGGCTGCGCTCTTCCTGTAATTGTGAAACGATTTGCATGCATCGGTGAGCTCGTCTCGGATGGCTATAACGGTCGACTGTTTGACACAGCTCATGAACTCTCTCATATCATCAAAACCTTCGCTTGCGGCTTCCCTCTTTACTCTACTGTTAGTTTTTTAATATATCGTAAACCTTGCGAAAAACGCATATTATGTCTGTCCATGGTGTGTGTGTGTATGTGTGTTTGTGTGTGTCCGGGTATTTCAGTCCAGCAGTATGCAAGCTTTGACACTGAAATTTTACCTTTGTGCCAAGTTTTGTAAAGGTACTAACGTTCGCGCACTGGAGAGCCTCATGGGAAATTGCTAACTCGGGAACTAGAAAAACTGCAAAGCCGAAACTTTAAGAGGATGTTCCTTCCCCTGCTGCAGCTTACTGATTTCAGATTTATTTCCTCGACACGCCCACGCACACGCCGACAGTCCCTTGCCAATATGCGTTCTTGCATTTGCATAAATATGCAAATATGCATAAAAACGCCTATTGACGAGGATTTGTTGGTGTGTGTGTGTGTGTGTGTATATGTTTGTATTTTTGAGTATGTATACACGTGCAGGTGCGTAGGTGTGTGCTCGCATTTTTTCACCCACTTTCAACTTAGCAACCAGAGAAGTTAGTAAGCTGAAATTTTTGGAGAATGCTGTCACCTTATGCGCCATCCTCCATTTTTAAAGTCATCTTTCACATACGCCGCGTGCGGGCGTCGGAAAACATGTAAATCTTTTGGTGAACAGACGATTTCGGAAACTAGACAGCATAGGAGGCTGAAATTTCGCAGGGATATCGATTTCAAATTCAGTTTTGACGCACGTATATGTTACGTGTGCGGACACATCAAAGTTGAAATTTGAAACAGAACTGGCAGTATGCCGACTCTGGAACTACCCTATGGAGAAAGCTCTGGTTTTTGCGGAAACATTTGCTGTTTAGTTGTGAGCTTGTAAGGCAAAACCAGCTTTTGCGTATTCTTGTATCGCGCGTGCGGGTATGACAAATGTATTTTCGAAGAGGCAGTTTGTGGAACCAGAAAAGCTACGAAGCTAAAATTTTACGAGTACATGCGCTTCCATTAGACAGGTAAGAAGACAAAAATTTTATGGGAATGTTTGCATGTCTTATCTTGCATTAAAATGGGGAAGTCTTTGAGAGATGCCTACGTTTCATGTGAACGTACACGGCAAACGTGCAGGTACAAAATTGTCGGCAGTGTCTTTCCACGGTAATTATGCATATTGGAGATGTGATCACGCAGCTTCTTAGTTACAACCCTATCGTCTCAACCATTAGCCGACGCCTCTTTTTCTGCTGTCTACAACAGTTGGCCAAAAACATTGCTGACATGCGCGCAGTTGTTAAGCTATAAAGCAGCGATCATTCGTACTGCTAACGACCTACGTTAAAATATATTGCTTCGAAGTTTGCGCATTAAAAATATGATCGCGCCGGTAACGCTAGTGCGCGCTGTGACTAATTCTGAATATAGAGCTTTTTGTGAATTACGAGTCGTTATGGAGAGCCTTGCATTGCTGCAGAGTCAAACTGCTGCACATTTTCACAGGTTTCATTGCAGCAGCTGAACACACTGGCATCGAATATTCAAGCAGATCCTTTGATTTCCTGGAGCAAAAATTGGGATGCCTGCATGTGGCCATTGGTGCGTAACTACGGAGCTCTTTCGGCAGAAGATTTAGCCCGACGACAGAGGTAATAACATAGTTTTCTCAGCTTACGTAATTAGGGCAGCGAGTTCGTGGCTTTTGAATTATTAAAGATCATGGGAAATCAGTTGGCTCCTCTTGTTGCAGCATGCTTGTTAAACAGGCTCGCTTTTCAGTCAAATCTGCATAGCAGTATAAACCCAGGCTGGAACGCACCAGGCTTGCCGGTGCGATTGTGTGTTTTTGCATTAAGCTTGCGGGTCGTTAATAGCAGGTATAATCCGTGTGTTGCAGCCAAACACTTGGGCTCATACTGCCCATGCTTTAGTTTCTTCCGGCATGCAGCAGAATGGGCATCGGTTGGGATGAGCGTGTTGCGTTATAAAGCCGCATGGGCGTGCAGGTACATGATTACCAGTTTTTCGCATAAAGCTAGTTCGTTTTTTCAGTAAATGCTAGCTTTTTGAAAAAGTGAAAATAAAAATTTTTTGAAAAAATCCAAATTCCAGCTCACTAAAAGGTGGAAGTGTTGCTCGAGCTGTCGCTAT